CCCTGGGGCCCCGCCCGGCCCCGCTGCCGCCGCGGGCGCACCGCGCTTCAGGCTCCCGAACAGGTGCTGGTGCCCAGAGAGGTCGACAATACCCCACTGCGGGGCAGGGAAGGCGGCGTCGAAGAGTGGTGGCGGTGGCGCCCCGAAGGCGGGCGGCGGTGGTGGCGGATCCGGCTTCTTGGCCTGCGAGGACGACGAGGAGGACGAGGAGGACGAGGTGGAGGAGGCGGAGGACGAGGCGGCCTCTGCCTTGGGCTTGAAGCCGGCCGGGCCCCCGTAGTCGTACTGCGGTGGCGGCGCAGGCGGTGGTGGCGCAGGCGGCGGGCCCGGGGCGCCGGCGCAGGGCAGCACGGCCGTCTTGCCGTGCTCGCTGTACAGCTCCAGCGGCTCGAAGCGCTGGTGGTTGAGGAACTCGAGGAAGTCGAAGGGGTAGCTCTGGAAGTGGACACCGTCCTCACCCGCCAGCCCACCGGGCCCGCCACCCGCCGCGGGGTTGGCCTCCATCTCACCTGCGGGGAGAGCATGGTGAGGATGGTGGGGCCAGGGATGCCGGGGCCGAGGGGAGATGGGGGGGGTGGAGGTGGGAGAATGGGTGGGGCAAGGACAGGCGACGCCCTCGGCCCTCCTGGCCCAGGCTGGCCTCTGCTCCCTGCTTCTTCCCCATCCAGTACTCCGCCTCCGCTCCCAAGGCCCAGGGTCTCCCCAACTCTGCTGCTCCTGGCCTGTACCCCCCGCCTCCCCGGCCTGGACCCCTCCTCAGCCTGCACCCCCTCCTCCCTGGCCAGCACCCCCTCCGGCTCCCTCTCCCGACCACCCACAGCCCCTTTCTCTCAATGCTTCCCACCAAACCCCAGGCTTGGCATGCAAATGAGGACAGCAGCGGCACAGCAGCCTATCAGCGGGCCCCTTTCCTGCCCAGCAGTGACCCCGGGCGTCTCAGGGCCTAAGCCTCACCTCCTCATCTACAGACGCCACAGAGCATGCCCATACCACAGAGTGTCTCGAGGACTCAATCCTTTAGCACGCTTTTTCATGGCTTTGAGTCTCAGTTCTCTCCATTTTCACCTGCCTAGTAGGTGGGATTAAAGACAGGTACCACCATGATTGCCTGGAAGGCTTTGCAGACAGCTAATTTGGGCATCTGTATGCACTTAGTGTGCACAAGGTATTACTGTCCCTGCTGACAGGATGAGGGAGTCAGGACAAGCCCGGAGAATGGGTGAGAGATGGGACTGCAAGGATGCACATCCATGCTTGGAGCCCACCCCAGCCCTTTAAACCTCCCCAGCTCTGAAATGAGAACATCGTTCTCTCTGTTGTACCATGAAGAACCTGGCTTGTGCTGTGATGTGTTCAATGTCATATGACAACAGTGTTATGCAGCCACTCGTTGACCAATCAGGAGACAACACCATCTCCATGCTTAACCTCTACTGGAGTGTTTATCCAGGGACTGTACCCTGAAGACATGATGGACCAGGCACTGGTGTCTCACACCTATAATCCTAGCTACTCAGGTGGCTGAGATCTGAGGATTGCAGTTCAAAGCCAGCCTGGGCAGCTAAGTCCATGAAACTCTTGTCTCCAGTAAACCACCAGAAAATGGAAATGGCGCTGTGCTGAAGGACAGCACCCAGGCCCAGAGTACAAGACCCACGACCGACAAAAAAAAAAAAAAAAAGATGGGTCTGCTATGAAACCAAGGTTCCACTAAGGTAGAACCTATTTGGGGGTCTCTGGTTGCAGAGAGACCTGGTATAATGGGGAATAGAGGAAGTGTCCTTGAATAGAATTGGTCTCTGCAGACTTCAGAAGCCTGCTGAAATGTGAAATTAAATCTTAAACACCCAATGAGTCCATGAAGAAATTACAACATTTTTTTAAGTGAAAATAAAAACAACATACCTACACTACATACAGCTTGGTGGGGTTTGTTTGTTTGTTTTGGGGTCCGGTTGTAGGGCCTGAACTCTGGGCCTGGGCGCTGTCCCTCAGCTCTTCAGCTCAAGGCTAGCGCTCTACCACTGAGCCACCTTCCCAGCTCCAGCTTTGTGTTTTTTGAAACTTAGATTAGTAGAATAGCACTTGCTAGGCAAGTATAAGATTCAGTTCAGTCCTCAGCCCTGAAGAAAAAAATAAGTGTAGCTAAAGCTGTACTCAGAGGGAAATTCATACTGGTAAACTATTGTGATGACGAATAAATGGATGAGATGAAGCTGATGAAAATTCCCTGGGGAAAATTCTCCAGAGCTGATAGAGGGTGTCTCCCACAGAAGTAATTCTGGGACAGTGGCGTTAGGAGGATGACACAGTGGGAAGATGCTGAAGGCAACAGAATTAATTAGGCTTATGGCAAAGTTCACTGGAATTAAGGCTAAAACTCATGCCTTCTGCAGGAAGACGTGGCCTGGAGGGCTTTCTGCAGAGTTCCAGTAACTCAGCTGATCTCAGGCTGCGTTGAGAGGCTCTCTCACCTGGGTCTCACAGCATTCCCAGGCCATTCTCGGTCCCATTATCTAAGTGGGGATATTGGGGATGGGGGGCCCGCAGCATTCATCCAGGTTCATGGGCACAGCAAAGGGAAAGCATGCAACAGGCCGCATCATCAAGTCCTGGTCTGCTAGAAACAATCATGTGACAGCAGCACTGAACTCTGAGCAGAGCATCCTAATGGCCAGGTCTTCCTCCAGAACCCCATCCCAACCACCTCAGAGATCCTCAAAATTCCCCCACATCCTCCTCCCAACCACCCGAGAGATGCTCACAATTGTTGAGAAGCCAGGCACCAGTGGCTCACGCCTGTCATCCTAGCTACTCTGGAGGCTGAGATCTGAGGATCACAATTCAAAGCCAGTCCTGGCAGTAAAGTCCATGAGACTCTTTAACTAACCACCAGAAAACTGGAAGTGGTACTGTGGCACAAGTGGTAGAGTCTAGCCTTTAGCTGAAGAATCCAGAGTTCAAGTCTCATGACTGACAAAAACAAACAGCAAGAGAGACTAGGCCAGAGAGATCATTCCTTTCCCAGAGTCGCAGTGCTAAACAATGCCCAGGCCAGGCCCACAAAGACAAAGTGGTTCCAGGCTCAATGCTTTTCCCTACAAGATGCTGTCTGCCAGCACTTCACCTTCCATGTTGAAGACAAGCCCATAATATCCTGGACAATGCCTCCCTGTCACCTCACTCCCAAATTTGTTTGATTCAATGCCAGGACAAGCAATTCCTCAACAATTCCTCTTGATTCTTTAACAAGTACCCAGTCAGTATCTTATGTAGTTAATCTCCTTCACCTTCAGAAGTACTGCAATTCACACCTAAAGACTAAGGTCAAAACCACTGTCCCTTAGTTCCAGCCCCTGCAGTCAGAGAAAAACCCCAAGTCTTTATGATGACCTTCACAACCGTCACTGACCCTGGGGCTCCTTCCACTGGCCGTGCTTGCCACTTCCTCCCTTAGGGCTTATTCGACCTGCCTGGGTTGGTCTGCCTCTCCTGTTCCACCTGCTCTCCCGCCCTCTCCTCCTTCCTCTTCTCTACTTCAGTGCGGTTCTCAGGGACCACGGCCTCAGCCCCAGGTCCACTCCTCAACCTGCTCCATTCTCTCCTTACCACCCACTCTCATCTCTTGTCCCACATATGCTACTTCAGCTTCCTACTCATTTTGCTGGCCTCCCTCTTTACAGGTTACATTTGTGTGTGTGTGTGTGTGTGTGTGTGAGAGAGAGAGAGAGAGAGAGAGAGAGAGAGAGAGAGAGAGAGAGACCATGCACATAGACCCCAAGACTGGGGCTTGAACTCAGGGCCTGTGCTTTTTTACTCAAGGCTAACACTCTTACCATTGAAGCCAAAGTTCTACTTCTGCATTTTGCTGGTCAACTGAAGGTAAGTGTCAGACTTTCCTTCCTGGGCTGGTTTCGAACCAAAATCCTCAGACCTTAGCTACCCAAGTAGCTAGGATCGCAGGCGTAAACGCCTAGCACCTGGCAGAAGCTACATTTTTAAATTTCCTTCACTGCTCTGTCCTCGGAACCTAGGACAGGACGTCTTTGCTAAATACTTGTTAATAAATTAACAAGGCTAGAAAAAGTATAGTTTGCTAAACGACAGGAGTTCCAGTAAAACCCAGGGCTTCCCTTACTCATCTCAGCTCCCTTGGGGAAGGCGAGCAAGCCCCAGGAGGACCACAGCTGTCCAGAAGGGAATTTATATCAAGATCTTTTTGCTCAGTGCCTTATCGTAAGATGACCAAAGATAGGAATCCAGAAAGGTCAGGCCTTCCTGACATCCAGGCCCACACTTGTGTTTTACTTCATATTGAGTGGTTTGATTTTCCCTGCTCTGCCCTATTGAGCTGTGCAGCATTGACACAGAGAAGTTTCCCTGTTTTTCTGTGACATCTCCTGTGTGATGTGCTCACTAAACAGCTGCAGAAGATGTGAATGAAAGAAGACTCTGGGCTTGCCAGAGATCATCAAGGGCACATCGTTTGTTCCAAGGCTCTTTGGGATCAAGTCTTGGTTCTTCTGTTCCATCCTCATGGGTCTGTCTCTCCTCATCCTGGCCACCATCATCCCAGAACCTTTGCTGTGTCCACGGGATCTTTGCATGACCTATCTCCAGCCTGCTCAGAAAACCCACCAAAAAGCAACATACTGTGTACCTGTTTTTGATCTGCTTCAACTAGACTGCAGTCCCCAAAGGTGGAAGATGAAGCTCTCTCCTTCACAGCTATAAAGTCTTGGACCTAGAACAGTGAATATGTGTTCCAGGAAGAAGAAAAGCTGCTGGGTGCTGGTAACTCACACCTACAATCCTAGCTACTCAGGAGGCTGAGATCTGAGGATTGCAGTTCAAAACCAGCAGAGGCAGGAAAGTCCATGAGACTCATCTCCAATTAACCATCAGAAAACCAGAAGTGGAACTGTGGCTTCAAGTGGTAGAGTGCTAACCTTGAGCAAAAGGGCTCTGGGACAGTACCCCGGCCCTGAATTCAAACCCCACAACCGATATAAAGAAAATAAACGCTTATAGGAAAAAGTGTAGATGGTGTGGTCTTCTCCAGGAAGTCCAGAAGGAAATCAGGAGAGCAGCTACAGATCAAGATAAGAGCTGCAAAGACCAGAAGGGCACTCTGATGGGGGCTCTTTCCCCACCACATTGCTGGGGGACAGGAATTCTGAGAGCAGAGGAGCCAGGATGTAGGTCCGAGGAAGGTGAGGCATTAGTCCTTGAGAGCCTGGTCTAAGCAGGCAGAGGAAAAGGTTGGATGAGAGTATTAAGACAGAGCTCTAGAGGGCGCTGTTTTACCGAGGGGTGTGTTTGTAAGGGGTATTTTTTTTTTCCTTGTGCAGGGACTGGGGACTTGAACTCAGGACCTACGGCTCTTGCTTAGCTTTTTTACTCAAGCCTGGAGTCCTACCACTTGAGCCTAACCATTACTTCTGACTTTTTGTTGGTTAACTGAAGATACAGTCTCACAGACTTCCCTGTCCGGGCTGGCTTCGAACTGCGATCCTCAGGTCTTGAGTAGCTGGGATGACATGCGTGAGCCCCAAGGCTGTTGGCAAAAGGGTAATCACTGAGAGGGCTGGAGGGGAAAACAACAGAGAAAGAGGGTCTGCCTGGCACTGCCAGGAACGCAAGGCGTTTTCACCCCAGCCCGGGGTGCTGCAGGAGCGCGCGGTACAACGGCGGGGCGGCTGTTGCGGGCCACAAAGGCGACAGTCCGAGGCGGCAATCCTATAGGGGATGCCAGGCAGGGCGCTCAAGTAGCCGCCCTGCGCGGAGGGGCGGCCGGTGGCACCAGGGTGGGCCGCGGCTAGACGCAGGGTGGGTGCCTAGGGCTGCCTGTTGGCTTGGCTCGTCACCAAGGAAAGGGCCTCGCGGCGACCTCCCGCGCGGCGAGCGTGGGAAAGCGAGGTCTCCGGAGGGGGGGGGGCAGTGACGGGGTCCCCGAGCCAGGGCCCGCGCAGAGGCACCGGCGTTCTGAGGTGGGGGGCATCCTGGGGACCGCTAACGACCAGGGAGGGGCCCTCCGCCCCCGCCGCG